ATTCATATATATACAAAATATATAAACAAAACTAATGTGACAAGACAGACCAACTAAATTTATAAAAAGGAAACATCAATATATGTTCAAACCTTTCTATGTTTGCGTTTAGAAAAAGTAAAAAGTCGAGCGTTGCCCCCGCCCAGCGGTGGCTCTTGTTCAGTATCTATAACTATATTTCTACTGCGTTACTAACGCAGTAAGGGCTATTTTTGCATATTTTGTCCTCTTTTTAGTAATTAACGTGGATTGTAAGTGGCATTGATATTGTGTAAATTGCTTCCTTTTGGTTATTTCACTGAATAATACGTTTAAACACATTTTCAAAATTTTCATGAAAATTAGCATGAATCTGGAGGCGTGCCGCTTTAAATTCAACAAAATATATTTAATATCTACTTGATTAAGTTTTTCTTCCAGGTACTTTTTTTAGATTTTTATCAAGGCAAGCTATAGTAATCAATCACTGTCTGGGGTATTGCCCTCCACACTTCTGGTTTTTAAACAACTAGCCTAATTCTCTGCTAGTATCCCTGAGAGAAATTTGAACCTCTAGTTTTACACTATAAGTGTCCATAACAGAAATTTAGACCATAAGTCTTATACTCTGCTAATATCTATGATAGAAATTTAAAATTTAAACTCTTTGGTGGATTTTATACCACTAACCTTCCATTCTGCTTAGTGCTAGTGTCCTAAATATCGTAACACTCTGCTGGTTTCGTAAGTGAATTCTGAACCACTAGATTTTCACTCTGTTAGTGTCTTTCAGAGAATTCCCCTGGCAAAAAAAAAAAGAACAAAAAAAACAACAACCAAACAACCCCCCCCCCCCCCCCAAAAAAAAAACCCCCAAAAAACCACTAGCCATGCACTTAGCTAGTGCCTTTAGTGAATTTTAAACCACTAGCCTTACACTCTGCAAGTGTCCCTGAGAAAATTAAAATAACAACTCCATTTGGTAACCATACACTTTGCTCTCAGTTATTTCAATCACTGCTCTTGCACTATGCTAATGTCCCTTAGAGAATTTTAATGCCCCAACTTAAAGTATGGGGGTGGGGGCAACATATAAATTAACCATTTTCTTGCTGTCATTCTTTCCGTCCGTAGATTGACAAAAAGCGATTTTGATAAAAATTGGCACAAGTGTTAAGCATGATGAGACAGTGTGTCATGCGCAGCACCTAGACCCCCAGCGCCAAGATCCAAGGTTATACTTAGAGGTAAAAGGTCAGCAGTTAGAAAATCTCAGTCATGCATTAAGGGATTTAATAGTCAGTAAGCAGAAGTGTTTAGCATAACGAGTTTTTGTTAGCCTATCAATTTAGATAATCAATGCTCTTTATATTTGTTAACTATGTAAACACTTGAGAAATTTGTGCTTTGTCACTGTAAAATTAAGGCCTTGTAAATATTAAACTGTTTATCAAACAACCATCTTTCCTTTTACATTAAAAAATCTTCTTAAACGGTCTGTTATTGCAAAAAAGTTTATGAAATACCAACTATGCTGTCCTGTCATAACATCTTTATTTGTATGTTTTGGTGTCCTAAAATATAAAGTTGGGATATCCTGTGTCCTTCAGATACATTTCTAGTTTACTTTAAGTAACAGTTACTAAACTTGTCCTTCAGAAAATTTGTTGTTAATTTGGGCTCATGAGAGTTTCAATATTTTGCCATACAGTTTTATTTCTGGTATTCTAGAGAATCATATTGATGTATATTTCAGGTCCAGCAAGGATAGAGACTCGGAGAACAAAGATGTTCCAGCAACATTGAAACCTGTGGACCAAGGTGGAGTATCTACAAGGAAAAGAAATAACGGTAAAACAACAGTGCATAGGGATTTATTTGTTTGATTGGGTTTTATGTCACATCGACACAGTATAGGTCATATGGCGACGTTCCAGCTTTAATGGTGGAGGAAGACCTCAGGTGCCCTTCCGTTCATTCTTTTAGGCACGAACAGGCACCTGGATAGCTTACTCACATAAAGAATCCAAAGTCCATGTTGGGATTCGAACCCACAACCATGAGGGGCAAGTGGTTTGAAGTCAACGACCTTAACCACTTGGCCACCGTTGCCCCCATAGGGATTTAATTTACCATAGGTCTTTTTTGAAAATGAAAAGAAAAAAGTATAAAAGTCAAAATTTGGCAGAGAAAAGTTAATTTTTCAGTGCTGAATAAAAACAAACAAAACTATTAGGGTTGTAGACTTTGGCAATTAAAGCTGCTTGCCCTCAGATGAGCCAAAATATTTCAAGAAAATTAATCTATAGAAGACTTAATTTACACATTATTTACAATTAATGACTGATTTTGCAGTATCTATCAACTTATTTCTACCGTGTGATTATAAGTTGTTACACAGTTAGGGCTTTTTTTGCATATTTCAAGAAATTTACATAGGTTTTAATTTAAGTGCCATTTGCAATGTGTAAATTACTTTTTTGTTCACTTGACAATATTTTATGTATTAAAACATTTGAAAAATGTTCATGAAAATTAACATGAATCTGGAGGCATGCTATTTTGATCTAGAAGATATTGATTGCATAAAAGTTAATTTCAAATCATTAGGGAACACTCTGTTGTCCTTTCCTAAGTTTTAAAATTTAATTTATTGAAATGCATGCCTTTTGTTCAACAGATTTATATCATCTAAACCTCCATGCTGTTATATGTTACTGTGTGAAAAATCATACTGGCCAGATATTTCAAATGTTTATTCTTTTCAAATACAGATGACATGGAAGATACAAGTGGAGATGTAAATGACACGGATGATAAAAACGAAGAAGTTACTGACAGTGCCGAGAAAATCCATAGGGGTGGAATAAAAATGACAGGTATGTAGACAAGTGCATAAAAAGAATTAGTTCAATCTTTATCCTGCAAAGTTTTATGCCCCCGTCATGTAATGGCTGGGGCATATAGTGTTATCCTGTTCCGTCCTTCCGTCATTCTGTCATTCTGTCATCATCAGTTTCCATTCATTATCTTAGTAACGGTTGCACATATTCAACTCAAATTTGACATATGGATATGTCATGAGAAAGTTCGAATTTGGTCATGGTTCAATGATTTTTGGCAGAGTTATGCCCCTTTTACTTTGAAAATAATATGAAATTTTCAGTTTCCGTTCATTATCTTCCCAACGGTACAACACATTCAACTTAAATTTGACATATGGATATGTCATGAGAAAATACAGGTCAAGTTCGAATTTGGTCATGGTTCAATGATTTTTGGCAGAGTTATGCCCCTTTTACTTTGAAAATAATATGAAATTTTCAGTTTCCGTTCATTATCTCCCCAACGGTACAACACATTCAACTCAAATTTGACATATAAATATGTCATAAGAAAATACAGGTCAAGTTCGAATTTGGTCATGGTTCAATGTTTTTTGGCAGAGTTATGCCCCTTTTACTTTGAAAATAATATGAAATTTTCAGTTTCCGTTCATTATCTTCCCAACGGTACAACACATTCAACTTAAATTTGACATATGGATATGTCATGAGAAAATACAGGTCAAGTTCGAATTTGGTCATGGTTCAATGATTTTTGGCAGAGTTATGCCCCTTTTACTTTGAAAATAATATGAAATTTTCAGTTTCCGTTCATTATCTTCCCAACGGTACAACACATTCAACTTAAATTTGACATATGGATATGTCATGAGAAAATACAGGTCAAGTTCGAATTTGGTCATGGTTCGATGATTTTTGGCAGAGTTATGACCCTTTTACTTTGAAAATAATATGAAATTTTCAGTTTCCGTTCATTATCTCCCCAACGGTACAACACATTCAACTCAAATTTGACATATGGATATGTCATGAGAAAATACAGGTCAAGTTCGAATTTGGTCATGGTTCGATGATTTTTTGGTAGAGTTATGCCCCTTTTACTTTGAAAATAATATGAAATTTTCAGTTTCTGTTTATTATCTCCCCAACAGTACAACACATTCAACTCAAATTTGACATATGGATATGTTTTTGGAATGCCCAGGCCAAGTTCGAATTTGGTCATGGTTCAATGATATTTGGCAGAGTAATGCCCCTTTCACTTTGAAAATAATATGAAATTTACAGTTTCTGTTCATTATCTACCCAACAGCGTTACATATTCAACTCAAATTTGACATATGGGTATGTCAAAGGAATGTGCAGGTCAAGTTGGAATTTGGTCATGGTTCGATGATTTTTTGGCAGAGTTATGTCCCTTTCACTTTGAAAATAATATAGATACATCTTAGGAATAAGCAGTTTAAGTTTGAATTTGGTCGTGGTTCAATGATTTTGGACAAACTTATCTTTCTTGAATATTGGACAAATTTTGAACTTTCAGTTTCAGTTTCAGCACTCATACTTTTATGGAAATGTATGTAGCCATTATTTTGGCTACAAATATGAAATATGCTATTTTCAAAAGGTTTAGACTGAATAATTTCAGTGTTTGAACATTGTATGAAAATGGTTTGTGTTAACATTGAAAAGTTTTAAGGGCTTTGAACTTAAAATGAAAACAATAATTTGTGCAAACAAATTTGGAACTAAATATTATAACATCTGAAATTTTGGCTGCATGCGGGGGCATCCGTGGCATGATGACACATTTCTAGTTGTAAGTGACTTTCCCGGTTTGAATATTGAGCTTTCTATAGATAAAGTGACATTATGCAAATGTTTTAGCTCAACTTTTTCGAGAAAATAAATGGAGGTATTCGAAAGTGGGCCATTGTACATTTATAAAGAATAGTCAACATCCATTTGTCTGTTCTCTTTAAAGTCTAGGTGGACATTTGTACAATTGTTAAAATCTGCATAGAGATTGATGTTGATGTTTTAATAATGGAATTGTGCCCTCTTTAGGGAGGGGCTGGGGGCATAGATTTACCTTGTCAGTCCATCCTTTGTATGTTCTCGTGTTGTGTCACACATAGCTCAAAAGTATTTGACCTAGAGTCATGAAACTTTACAGGAATGTTGCTCTGCATGTGTATTCTGCACCTGCATATTTTTGTGTTTCTTAGATTTATTCAGTATTTGCAGAGTTATTGCCCTTGACTGAGTAAAAATTTGCAATTTTTAACTTGTGTCGCACTAAGCTCAAAAAGTATTTGACCTAGGGTCATGAAACTTTACATAAATATTGATAAGCATGTTTAGTTTTGCACCTGAGTATTTTTGTGTTATTCATTTAGTATTTGTAGAGTTATTGATTGTCCTTGAATTTGTAAAAATTTGCAATTTTCAACTTGTGTCGCACTTAGCTCAAAAGTATTTGACCTAGGGTCATGAAACTTTACAGGCATGTTAATCAGCATGTGAAATTGTGTATCTTGGGACCTTGGGTTTCCCTTGTGAATGTAATATGTTTTGTCAGAGTTATTGCCCTTGACTTAGTGAAAATTTGCTAATTTCAATTTTTGTAGTGCGTAGCTCAAAAAGTGTTTAACCTAGAGTCATGAAACTTAACAGGGATATTGGTCAGCATTTGTAGTTGTGAACCTTGGGTTTTGATTGTGGGTTTATCCAGTATTTCTAGAGTTATTGTCCTTGACTTATTAAAAAAACATTCCATTATGTTGTGTTATTTGTTCCTTCAGTGCTTAAGTTAGAATCAACCAATTTACAGGAATAATGATCAACATCACTGTGAAGCTATGCACCTAGGGTTTTGCATGTTGATTTTTTTCAGTTTTGTTAAGAGTTATTGTTCTGGACTTATCATCAATTTGCAATTTTCAACTTGTTCATGCATAGCATAGCACCAAAAAGTATATGACCTGTAGGCCTGAAAGTTTATAAGAATGTTGGTCAGCATGTGTACTTATGTACCTCGGTGTTTGCTTGTGGATTTATTCAGTATTTGTAAAGTTCTTGCCCTTAACTTTGTAAAAGATTTTTTTAGTTTTCAACTTGTGGCACATGTAGCCCAAAAAATATTGACCTAGAGTCATAGGATTGACTGGACACATTTCTAGTTTTTTCCTCAATTTCAATGTATACAGAAACAAAAAAGATTGCAAGTATTTGACGAACTAAATATTGGATTACAAATAGCCTTTTGTTTATAGTAACATTATGTTGCATTTGTTAAATCATGATTGATATAAAATAGCTTTGAAATATACTATGCTCATCCTTGAGTAAAATATTTTAATAACAGAAATTTATTGAAATCTTACTGAAGAAATGTTTAATTTGAATAAGAGAATGAATAAGATATGTAAAGGAAGTTGCAGGTCAAGAAAAGTTATTCTTTTCTTAAATGATACTATTTAATTATATTGGGACCTCCTATAGTGTGTAGAATTTTAAACACAAAACGTATCTACTTTGTTTGAAGTCAAAACATGTTTTTATGCCCCCACAATGTGGGAGCATATAGTGTTGCACTTGTCCGTCCGTCCGTCAGTCCGTCCGTCCGTCCGTCCGTACGTCCCGAAATCTTGTGAACGCAACTCCTCTTAAACCGGATGGCAGATTTTGCTTAAACTTACAGGGATGAACAACCTTAATGTGTAGATGGTAGTAAAGGAAGGAATTTTCGCTGTGACCAAATTTAACAGAATTATGGCCCTTTGTTGATTTTTTCACTAGATACTATGTGGAAATTTTGTGAACGCAACTCCTCTTAAACCTGTTGGCAGATTTTGCTTAAACTTACAGGGATGAACAACCTTAATGTGTGGATGGTAGTAAAGGAAGGAATTTTTGTTGTGACCAAATTTAACAGAATTATGGCCCTTTGTTGATTTTTTCATTATATACTATGTAGAAATTTTGTGAACGCAACTCCTCTTAAACCGGATGGCAGATTTTGCTTAAACTTACAGGGATGAACAACCTTAAGGTGTAGATGGTAGTAAAGGAAGGAATTTTTGCTGTGACCAAATTTTACAGAATTATGGCCCTTTGATGATTTTTTCACTATATACTTTGATGTAGAAATTTTGTGAATGCAACTCCTCTTAAATCGGATGGCAGATTTTGCTTAAACTTCCAGGGATTTACAACCTTAATGTGTAGATGGTAGTAAAGGAAGGAATTTTTGCTGCGACCAAATTTAACAGAATTATGGCCCTTTGTTGATTTTTAGTTTTCAACTTGTGGCACATGTAGTCCAAAAAATATTTGACCTAGAGTCATAAGATTGACAGAACAGTGGGGTGTGGGGGCATCCGTGTCCTATGGACACATTTCTAGTTTTATGTTACAAAGAGACTGTGTAGCATTTATCAATATATTCTGATATCAAATTTGAGCATAGTATGTCTTAAATTTTATAAAACTCTATATAAAGAAATAGCAACAACAAAAATCATGTAAAAATGTATTAGATGTAATGTTCATAATTGAAAAAAAATGTACAACTTTCTTTTCTTTTTTTTTCAGTTGTGAAAGTAGTTGTCATGACAGTAGGACTGTCTGTAATTGGCCTTGTTCTGGTTGTAGTAGTTATAAATAATGGTTAGTCTGATTAAAATTTTTTATGCTTTATTAATTCACAAGGGTACTAAAACTATTTAAAACAATAGAAACCTTTATGCTTTTTAGCTCACCTGTCACAAAGTGACAGGGTGAGCTTTTGTGATCGCTTTTCGTCCGGCGTCAGTCCGTCCGTCCGAGCCAACATTTGATTATTATGAGCTTCATTCCGTAGTTAAATAAAAAACATAAACTCATAAAATTCCGTCGTCCGTCCGACGTCCATAAACTTTTACTTTAAATGACATCTCCTCATAAACCGCTGAGCCAATTTCATCTAAACTTCACAGGAATGTTCCTTTGGTGGTCACCTTTAAAAATTGTTCAAAGAATTTAATTCCATGCAGAACTCTGGTTGCCATGGCAACCAATAGAAAAAACTTAAAATATCTTCTTTTAAAAAACCCAAAGAGGTAGAGCTTAGATATTTGGCATGAAACATCTTCTAGTGAGTGTCTATCAAGTTTGTTCAAATAAAGGCCCTGGGGTCAAAATTGGCCCCGCCCAGGGGGTCATTGTTTTTCCCTATATGCATATAGTAAAAACTTAAAAAATCTTCTTTTAAACAACCCAAAGAGCTAGAGCTAAGATACTTAGCATGTTACATCTTCTAATGGGTGTCTACCAAGTTTGTTCAAATAAAAGCCCTGGGGTCAAAATTGGCCCCGCTCCAGGGGGTCATTGATTTTCCCTATATGCATATAGTAAAAACTTATAAAATCTTTTTTTAAAGAACCAAAAGAGCTAGAGCTAAGATATTTAGCATGAAACATCTTCTAATGAGTGTCTATCAAGTTTGTTCAAATAAAAGCCCTGGGGTCAAAATTGGCCCCGCCCCGGGGGTCATTGATTTTCCCTATATGCATATAGTAAAAACTTATAAAATCTTCTTTTAAAGAACCCAAAGAGCTAGAGCTAAGATATTTAGCATGAAACATGTTCTAATGGGTGTCTACCAAATTTGTTCAAATAAGAGCCCTGGGGTCAAAATTGGCCCTGCCCCGGGGGTCATTGATTTTATTTATGTGTATAGCAAAAAATTAAAAAATCTTCTTTGAAAAAACCCAAATAGCTAGAGTTAAGATATTAAGCATGAAACATCTTCCAGTTAGTGTCTTCAAAGTTTGTTCAAATAAAAGCCCTAGGGTCAAAATTGGCCCTGCCCGGGGGGACATTGATTTTCCTTATATGTGTATAGCAAAAACTGAAAAATCTTCTTTAAAAAAAACCAAATAGCTAGAGTTTAGATATCAAGCATCAAACATCTTCTAGTGAGTGTCTTCAAAGTTTGTTAAAAAAAAAAACCCTGGGGGCAAAACTGGCCCCGCCCTAGGGGTGTCATTGCTTTGAACTATATGTGTATAGTTAAAACTTAAAAAATAATTTTTTAAAAAACTCAACGAGCTAGACCTTAGATGTTAACCATGAAACATCTTGTAATGGGTGTCTACCAAGTTTGTTCAAATAAAAGCTCTGGGGTTTAAACTGGCCCCACTCTGGGGGCCTATATACAGGTGAGCGACTTCAGGACCATCATGGCCCTCTTGTTTAATTGATAGAAGTAAAAAAACTGTATAAGTTCAATAGAAACAGGGGCACAAGGTGAGTTCATAGTAAATGTTAGATGGTCAATTATCAGTATAATAGTCAATTTCGGTTTTCAAGAACTGTCAAGAGTTCTTTTCAAATTTGCTGTGTAGTACCCATGTGTGTTAGTTATAATTAGTGTCACATTAATTCCCTCATAGTAATTGCAGGGGCCTCTTTTGCCAAATGGTGAAGGTCAACAACTTCAGATCACTTGCATCTCATGGCTGTGTGTTTGAATCTTGTTAGGGACATAAGGTTAACTAACAGAAGATCAGTGGTCCTACTCAGATGGTTGCAAGTGCCTGAAATAAAAATAATAAAAAATGATTTTTTAGTTTCAAATAAAATAACTTTTCAGCACCAACTGAGGATTGCAGGTCAAGAAAGAAGAAGAATTGTTTATTAGCAGGTAACTTTCATCTCTTAAATTTTCACTTTTAATTACAACTTTAGATCACAATTGGAATAAAAATGATATAAAGAATGACCACTTTCTATCTCAATGGAGCCGTTTGCCTTAAACCATTATGTTTATCATGTTATATTTATACAAACACTGATTGGTACTTAAAAAACTTGACAAACCTTGTTTTGAATCATGATCTTAAGCTATTTACCAAGACTCATTACTCTTGCATGAAATTTAGCTGAATTGTTCCCCTTTAATAATGTATTAACTTGAATCCTCATATATACCAAGGTCATAATTGTTATTCAATGTCTAAAACAAATGCACCCTTTCTTAACTGATTTTTAAATAAACATGATTTATGTTAAATCCCATTGTGAAAGATATTTTGTTTGCATAACATAACAATAATTTATTGACTGTCATCTTTTATATAACACTACATATACATTGAAAACAAATGAATAAAACGCTATTCATAGTGACAAGTGTACTGTCTTATGAATTGTACTTGCAATTATACAAAAAGTTTTTGTAAAATATTGAAGATACAGGAGTTGTATCATAGAAATTTGAAAATACTACCAGATAGAATAGTAAACTTAGTAATCATGTTGATTCTGCAGGAGAGAAGAACGAGTTGGACGAAGCAGGTGGTGAAAAGTTGAAAAAGCCCCATGATAACACATTAACGCAACTAATATTACACAGTTTAAATGATCAAATGAAATTTGTTGGGGCACTAATGAGGAATGGTCTTATAGAGGGCACAGTGTTCAGGGTCGGTTCTTGCTATGTGATGACAGCCTATCACGTTATTCAGCCAATAATATGGGGTAAGAATTTACGTCATTTTCAGTTGATTTATCTTATTGAGTTCAAAACAATTTTTAATGGGCCCCAAATGGGGAGCCATATAGTTTTTGTAGAGTCCCTCCTTCGGTCCATGTACCCACAGGACCAATCGGGACCGTGGGCCATCTAACTAAACAGAACAAAAGAGAATAGAGTTGATTCTATAACAATAGTGTAGGAACCATTGGCTGTCTATTAAACAAAGGAATAGGCCACTAATTCTATTTCGGTTGATAGTCCGTCCTGCTGTCTTTTCATCCGAATGTTATCCAGTGCATATTTTATTCATTTATGGATGGCTTTTAAAATAATTTTCTATATAGGTGTAGCACATTTGGGCAATGTGTCCTTTGCAACATATAGGTCTAAAGCTAAAAGGTAAAGATCATATTCTTACTTCAATGGGAATATGTCAATGTGACGTAAAACCCAATCAAACAAAAACAAACAAAAATCAATAGAAATATTAGTAAAAATGCACTGATATTCATGTCCGATCAACAATACTTTCATTGATGAATGGGTTTAGAAATTATTATGCATAAATGTGTTGGACATACTGGCAGTGTGTTGCAAGCATTAACCAGGTCCCTACCTCAAACAACTAGGTCACACCTATAGATATGAATTTTTGTAAAAGTACCTGATGTTTGTGTCTGATAAAAAATTCTGTCATTTCAGAATGGATATTAAAATAACTATGCATAAATTTGTCTAACATTATGACAACATACCTCAAGCATGAATCAGATTCCTACCTCAAAGGTCAAGGTCACGCTTGTATTCCAGTCGTGACAAGAATTTTTTCATTAAATGAATGTTAATCAACTATGTTGTCAATATTTTACAGCTCTTTGTATTGTACTACCTTAATTTTTCTCATATTTATCTGCCAATTTGAATAAAAAACAAAATAAACACAACAAAATGGGATGATCAATTACAGCCAACATTTTGTATGGTATAACAGTATAGTACAGTGTCATTCTACGACATGTACTTCTGTTATTATACCCCCACAAACAAAGTTTGGGGTATATGAGTTGGCTTGTTGGTCAGTCGGTCAGTCCGTCTACTTCATGGTTTCAAACTTGGTATATAGAAACCTCGTGTATAAACTCCAGTTGGTACCGTATAAGTACTATTTTCTGCGGGAACTTTATTTCTGCTGTTTATGCGGTTCATATTGACACCGCAGATTTAAAAACCGCAGAAAATTAAGCTCTGTATGTATATGTCGGAATATGTTAACTACCGTTATTGTATAATTACATTACCATGTACCATTATCAGCTTTAGTAGATGGGAATTTTTCTTATGTATCTGTCGTGAATAAAATATTAGAAACTAGAAATGTGTCCATAGGACACGGGTGCCCTTACCGCACCACTGTTCTGTCAATCTTATGACTCTAGGTCAAATATTTTTTTGAAAAATAAAAATCTTTTACTAATTAAAGGGCAAGAACTTTACAAATACTGAATAAATCCACAAGCAAACCCCAAGGTGCATAAGTACACATGCTGACAAACATTCTTGTAAACTTTCAGGCCTACAAGTGAAATACTTTTTGAGCTATGCATGAACAAGTTGAAAATTGCAAATTTATACTACTTTAAGTCAAGGGCAATAACTCTAACAGAACTGAAAAAAATCCACATGCAAAGTCCCGGGTTCATAGCTTCACACTCATGTGAATCAATATTCCTGTAATTTAGTGATGTTGATCATTATTATGCCCCCCTTCGAAGAAGAGGGGGTATATTGTTTTGCTAATGTCGGTCTGTCTGTCTGTCGGTCCGTCCGTCGGTCTGTCTGTCGGTAGACCACATGGTTTCCGCTAATTATCTTGAAAAGTATTTATCACAAAGTCTTCATATTTTACATAGTGATTGGCCATAACTAGTAGATGACCCCTATTGATTTTGGGGTCACTAGGTCAAAGGTCAAGGTCACAGGGACCTTAAATGTCAAAATGGTTTCCGCTGATTATCTTAAAAAGTATGTATAACAAAGTCTTCATATTTCACACAGTGATTGGTCATCACTAGTAGATGACCCCTATTGATTTTGGGGTCACTAGGTCAAAGGTCAAGGTCACAGGGACCTTAATTGTCAAAATGGTTTCCGCTGATTATCTTGAAAAGTATGTATCACAAAAGTCTTCATATTTCACACAGTGATTGGTCATAACTATTAGATGACCCCTATTGATTTTGGGGTCACTAGGTCAAAGGTCATGGTCACAGGGGCTTTAAATGTCAAAATGGTTTCCGCTGATTATCTTGAAAAGTATTCATCACAAAGTCGTCATATTTCACATAGTGATTAGTCATAACTAGTAGATGACCCCTATTGATTTTGGTGTCACTAGGTCAAAGGTCAAGGTCACAGGGGCCTTAAATGTCAAAATGGTTTCCGCTGATTATCTTGAAAAGTATGTATCACAAAGTCTTCATATTTCACATAGTGATTGGTCATAACTAGTAGATGACCCCTATTGATTTTGGGGTCACTAGGTCAAAGGTCAAGGTCACAGGGACCTTAAAATGTGAAAATAATTTCTGCTGATTATCTTAAAAAGAATTCATCACAAAGTCTTCATATTTCACATAGTGATTGGTCATAACTAGTAGATGACTCCTATTGATTTTGGGGTCACTAGGTCAAAGGTCAAGGTCACAGGGGCCTTAAATTCAAAATGGTTTCCGCTGATTATCTTGAAAAGTATGTATCACAAAGTTTTCATATTTCACATAGTGATTGGTCATCACTAGTAGATGACCCCTATTGATTTTGGGGTCACTAGGTCAAAGGTCAAGGTCACAGGGACCTTAAAATGTGAAAATGGTTTCCGCTGATTATCTTGAAAAGTATTCATCACAAAGTCTTCATATTTTACATAGTGATTGGTCATCACTAGTAGATGACCCCTATTGATTTTGGGGTCACTAGGTCAAAGGTCAAGGTCACAGGGGCCTTAAATGTCAAAAGGGTTTCCGCTGATTATCTTGTAAAGAATTCATCACAAACTCTTCATATTTCACCTAGTAATTGGTCATAAGTATTAGATGACCTCTATTGATTTAGGGGTCATTAGGTCAAAGGTCAATGTCACATGGGCCTTAAATGTCAAAATGGTTTCCGTTGATTTTTCCATAATTGAACACTTCCATGTACCCATTTTTGGCAAGTTTCTTTAATAAAATTACCAATTATGTGAGTCAATGGCTAGAAAGGGGGGTATATGTGTCGTTCGACATTCTTGTTCCTGTAAAGTTGGTTGATTCTAACTAAAGCACTCAAGGAACAAATAACAACATAATGAAACATTTTTAACAAGTCAAGGGCAATAACTCTACAAATACTTGATAAATCCACAAGCGAAACCCCAGGTGCAAAACTAAATATGCTGAGCAACCTTCCCCTAAGGTTTAATGACTCTATGTCAAATCCTTTTTGAGTTACATGCGACACAAGTTGAAAAATGCAAAATTTTACTAAGTCAAGGGCAATAACTCTAAAAATACTAAATAAATCCAGAAGAAAATACCCAGGTGCACAACTACACATGCTGATCAACCTTCCTGTAAAGTTTCAAGGCTCTAGGTCAAATCCTTTTTGAGTTTCATGCGACACAAGTTGAAAATTGCAAAATTTTACTAAGTCAAGGGCAATCACTCTAAAAATGCAAAAAAATATCCAGACGAAAATACCCAGGTGCACAACTACACATGCTGATCAACATTTCTGTAAAGTTTCATGACTCTAGGTCAAATCCTTTTTGAGTTACATGCGACACAAGTTGAAAAATGCAAAATTTTACTAAGTCAAGGGCAATAACTCTAAAAATACTAAATAAATCCAGACGAAAATACCGAGGTGCACAACTACACATGCTGATCAACCTTCCTGTAAAGTTTCAAGGCTCTAGGTCAAATCCTTTTTGAGTTTCATGCGACACAAGTTGAAAATTGCAAAATTTTACTAAGTCAAGGGCAATCACTCTAAAAATGCAAAAAAATATCCAGACGAAAATACCCAGGTGCACAACTACACATGCTGATCAACATTTCTGTAAAGTTTCATGACTCTAGGTCAAATACTTTTTGAGTTACATGCGACACCAGTTGAAAATTGCAAAATTTTACTAAGTCAAGGGCAATAACTCTAAAAATGCAAAAAAATATCCAGACGAAAATACCCAGGTGCACAACTACACATGCTGATCAGCATTTCTGTAAAATTTCATGACTCTAGGTCAAATACTTTTTGAGTTAAATGCGACACAAGTTGAAAATTGCAAAATTTTACTAAGTCAAGGGCAATAACTCTTAAAATAGTAAAAATATCCAGCTAAAAATACCCAAGTGCACAACTACACATGCTGATCAACATTTCTGTAAAGTTTCATGACTCTAGGTCAAATACGTTTTGAGTGACATGTGACACAAGTCGAAAATTGCAAAATTTTACTAAGTCAAGGGCAATGACTCTAAAAATACTAAATAAATCCAGACAAAAATACCCAGGTGCACAACTACACATGCTGATCAACCTTCCTGTAAAGTTTCAAAGCTCTAGGTCAAATCCTTTTTGAGTTTCATGCGACACAAGTTGAAAATTGCAAAATTTTACTAAGTCAAGGGCAATAACTCTAAAAATGCAAAAAAATATCCAGACGAAAATACCCAGGTGCACAACTACACATGCTGATCAACATTTCTGTAAAGTTTCATGACTCTAGGTCAAATACTTTTTGAGTTACATGCGACACAAGATGAAAATTGCAAAATTTTACTTAGTCAAGGGCAATAACTCTAAAAATAGTAAAAATATCCAGATGAAAATACCCAGGTGCACAACTACACATGCTGATCAGCATTACTGTAAAGTTTCATGACTCTAGGTCAAATACGTTTTGAGTGACATGTGACACAAGTTGAAAATTGCAAAATTTTACTAAATCAAGGGCAATAACTCTAAAAATGCTAAAAATATCCAGACGAAAATACCCAGGTGCACAACTACACATGCTGATTAACATTCCTGTAAAGTTTCATGACTCTAGGTCAAATACTTTTTGAGTCACCTGCGACACAAAAGTGAACGGACAGACGGAAGGAAGGACGGACAAGGGTAAATCTAAATGCCAGTCACTAAAGTGGGGGCATAAAAATGTTACTTTGCTTGTTCTCTTTGCTTAAATAAATATTATGTTTGTATGATTTCGCTCACTCTTAGCTAGATTTTTTTTTTTGTAAAATGAAACTATTTTAGTTTGACGGGTGCAATAAACATACCCTTTTGTATTTGTACAATATCTTGTGTCCACATTCGATTTTGCCATTGTTTATTATTCACACTTCATATTTATACACATACAGTATTACAATTGTTATCATCGCACGTTTATTAACATGTATATGCCGATACATGATAATTACGACGAAACACATAATCAGTCGTCTGCATGTTAACCAAAAGTAATGCACATGTTATCTCAACAAATCTTAAAATTTTTTGTTTGTGTAGGTTAATTTTGAAAAGAAGTATCTTAATGAAAATGCAGAATTAAAAAGCATCAAGGCGAGAATGATGACACCGCAGAAATAAGATACACAAAAAATTAAAACCCCTTATTTTAATAAAAATCGCAGAATATTTAAAGCCCGCAGAAATAAGTACTTATACGGTATTGCATTTGGACCCCCTAGGATTAAGGTCAAAGTCACATTTACTAAAAATAGAAAAATGGTTTCTGAACAATAACTAGAGTTAGACATAATAGAAATGAGATATTGTTGTTATAGCATTTTGACCCTAGGGATCAAGGTCACACTTACTTAAAATAGAAAAATGGTTTTCAGGACAATAACTTGAGTAAGGAATAAGATATTGTAATCAAACTTGGTGTATAGCAAGCCTATATGAAGTACTTGATTTGTTTCGCATTTGGACCCCCTGGGATCAAGGTTGAGGTTACTGTTTCTAAAAATAAAAAAATGGTTTCCGAAACATTAACTACAGTTAGGAATGAGAAATTGTAATCAAACTTGGTGTATAGCAAGCTTATGTGAAGATCCTGGTTGGGATTGCAATTAATTGAAATCATTCTTTGTGTACAGTTGATACTTCATTTACTATAGGTTGGGTTCCAATTTTTCTTTGGATTAACTATTTTTCAAAAAGTCAAAGTTGCTGGTGGGGATATTAATCACCTTCACTGAAGGTGATAGGTCTAGTTGAATATACCAGCATAGGCTAGTCAAAGGATTTCTCAGGACTGTGTAAGCAGGTTGATTAAGAAAACAGTGCAATGCATGCAAATGATATTTTGCATTTAACTGTTGTTCATTGATTATTGTTATTTATTTTTCAGATGATCAACTTAATAAAATGGTTCCTGAACGTCTCTTTTCTAAAAACATTTTTGTGAACTTCAATGCAGCTGTGGGAGACTGTCCACGCATACGCCCACATATAAAGAAAATTTGCTACATCAATACAGAGCTAGATGTTGCAATTTTAAAGTTATCCACTATGAGTGGTGTACCAGCAAAAATGCTTCTGTGGAAGGGAAACAGTAATCTTAACATGGAAAAAGTATCAGTTATTGGGTATGGTCATCCAAAGGAGCCACTAGCGAAGCATTTTGAACCACCATGTGTTGTTATCAAGAGAGGGGGCAGTGAAGTTCAGGCTGCTCTAGAATATTACCACCGGGAAAAAGAGAACTTTAAACTGGCTTTAGGTAACAACACTGAAGTAATAGATAAAGGTTATGGTGGCATTGATAATGCTAATAAAATCTTTTTTCATGGTTTCTTGGAACACGGAGCATCAGGCTCGCCTCTGTTGGTCTGTAATGATCCAAGATCTGTTTACGTTGTCGGGATGTTGACCAATGGACTTCCAGAGTTCTTCTTTCACCTTCCAGCTGGCAAGAAAGGAGACTTTCCACCTGAGCATAGGTTTCATAGTGGTAGTCGAATGCAACTGATATATGAAGATTTAATAGAAGTGGATCGGAATCTTGCTGAAGATTTATTTTGAAGATTTTAAATGAAGAAAGTCAGAAATTACATAAGCGGAAAAAAATTCAGTTTGAAGGGGAGTTAGGAAAAGTGGCAGTTAGTAAAAAAAGCTATATTATCTTAACTACAAGCATGTTCAGAAATGTACCATACAGGGATATAATATACAGGGATAAAATTGTACCATACACGAATAAAGGCCTGTCATGACTCATCCGGTCTTGTGATACCAGCTGTACATGTGAAACTGAACATTTCTCTTTCTGAAATCTCAGTATGTTTCATGATGCTGTATTTGTTGTTTGTTTTAGTTAAAAAAAAAACTAACCATGATACAAATAGTATTGTTAGATATATATATTATATGAGATTTATTTTTATTTTCACTACACTGCATTAGTATGTCAAATAATTGTTTTGGATTTAATGATATGCACCTTTTTAAGTTTTGAATAACTGCTTTTTACTAAACATGTACAAATTTTAATTGTTTGGGGAAAAAAATTAAAGAAAAGGCTCTTCTGTTCTCCTTTAAGTAGTTCATTGTAAAAAAGTAAATATATGCTATTGAAAATTTAAATCTTAAGATATTTAAGCAAAATACAATGTACATTATGTAATTTATATTCTCAAAAGTTCAGGTACATGCAATAGACAGGTTTTGGTGTGTTCATTTTATGAATGAATCTCAATGTCTTTTTAAATCATTATACAGTGACAATGGTGAAATGTATGCTTTATGGTTTCTTGGTTTCTTTTAAGTTACTTCCATGACATTTTGGTCAAGTCATCACCTTAGTGCAATAACTGGTTAACTGGTATTAAAATTAGAAGGACATAACCTGTTCATGCACTAAGGTGACAAAAATGTATATTATATTTTTAGCTCACCTGTCACAAAGTGACAGGGTGAGCTTTTGTGATCGCTTTTCGTCCGGCGTCCGGCCGTCCGTTCGTCGTCCGTCCGTAAACTTTTGCTTTAAATGACATCTCCTCATAAACCACTGAGCCAATTTCATCCAAACTTCACAGGAATGTTCCTTTGGTGGTCACCTTTAAAAATTGTTCAAAGAATTTAATTCCATGCAGAACTCTGGTTGCCATGGCAACCGAAAGAAAAATCTTTAAATATCTTCTTTTAAACAACCCTAAGAGCTAGAGCTTAGATATTTGGCATGAAACATCTTCTAATGAGTGTCTACCAAGTTTGTTCAAATAAAAGCCCTGGGGTCAAAATTGGCCCGCCCCAGGGGGTCATAGATTTTCCCTATATGCATATAGTAAAAACTTAAAAAATCTTCTTTTAAAGAACCTAAAGAGCTAGAGCTAAGATATTTGGCATGAAACTACTTCTAGTGAGGGTCTACCAAGTTTGTTCAAATAAAAGCCCTGGGGTCAAAATTGGTCCCGCCCTGGGGGGTCATTGATTTTCCCTATATGCATATAGTAAAAACTTAAAAAATCTTCTTTTAAAGAACTGTAAGAGCTAGAGCTTAGATATTTGGCATGAAACATCTTCTAGTGAATGTCTACCAAGTTTGTTCAAATACAAACCCTGGGGTCAAAATTGGGCCAGCCCTAGGGGGTCATAGATTTTCCTATATGCATATAGTAAAAACTTAAAAAATCTTTTAAAGAACCCAAAGAGCTAGAGCTAAGATATTTGGCATGAAACATCTTCTAGTGAATGTCTACCAAGTTTGTTCAAATAAAAACCCAGGGGTCAAAATTGGCCCCGCCCCAGGGGGTCATTGATTTTCCCTATATGCATATAGTAAAAACTTAAAAAATCTTCTTTTAAAGAACCCAAAGAGCTAGAGCTAAGATATTTATCATGAAACATCTTCTAATGAGTGTCTACCAAGTTTGTTCAAATAAAAGCCCTGGGGTCAAAATTGGCCCTGCCCCAGGGGGTCATAGATTTTCCCTATATGCATATAGTAAAAACTTAAAAAATCTTCTTTTAAAGAACCCAAAGAGCTAGAGCTAAGATATTTGGCATGAAACATCTTCTAGTGAGTGTCTACCAAGTTTGTTCAAATAAAAGCCCTGGGGTCAAAATTGGCCTCGCCCCGGGGGGTCATTGATTTTCCCTATATGCATATAGTAAAAACTTAAAAAATCTTCTTTTAAAGAACCTTAAGAGCTAGAGCTTAGATATTTGGCATGAAACATCTTCTAGTGAATGTCTATCAAGTTTGTTGAAATAAAAGCCCTTGGGTCAAAATTGGCCCCGCCCCAGGGGGTCATTGATTTTCCCTATATGCATATAGTAAAAACTTAAAAAATCTTCTTTTAAAGAACCCAAAGAGCTAGAGCTAAGATATTTAGCATGAAACATGTTCTAATGGGTGTCTACCAAGTATGTTCAAATAAGAGCCCTGGGGTCAAAACTGGCCCGCCCCGGGGGTCATTGATTTTCCTTATATGTGTATAGCAAAAACTTAAAAATCTTCTTTTAAAAAACCCAAATAGGGGGGCTGGGCTATATACAGGTGAGCGACCTCAGGGCCATCATGGCCCTCTTGTTTCTGAGTTATTTCCCTTGAATACACCAAATACGTAAGATATATAAAATGATGGAAAATTGATATGGAAAAGTTTTTTTTATGAAAATTTCCCGGTGAACGTTATATAACAGAAACCCATTATAACGCATAATTGAGACCTTGGACCCTAACATGAGCTTTATTATATGAATGGGGTTGCAAAGTATTCTATATCTAGTCATATAATTGCATAATAAAAGTTTATTTTGTTTGTTTTTGAACCTATATTCAAGAATTTGTGGGGGGTTTATATAAAATTTCGATCTGAAACAGCTTTGGGGTAAAAAAAAATTTTCATAGAATTGCTAGACTACAGTTAATACATAATGTGATACTTTTAATAAAGTATATATTTTTGTATGTGAGTTAAACTTTTACCATACTTAATCTCTTAAACAGACTTCTCCCTGTTTCAGTATGGACCAAACAGTCATTTTAAGGGAAAATTTTAATTTGTACATGTATAAGTATGTGGTTATAAGTGATAAAAATTTTTTTTTACTGTAGGTGTATATACATGATAGAGAATTGATCACATGACAAAAAGAACCGTCAAAACTATACCTTAGTAGCATTTTTTCAAATATCTGTTCCCTGATGAAGGCTATTGAATAGCTGAAACATAGGTCTTTAATAAAATTATAGAAACCTGTTGTTTCACTTTCCTTATTCTTTTTATTATGATAGAGAATTGTATATTAGAAATTTACTATAATGTTAACACTCAGTTTTTTGTTGATATTGCATTAATAATGATATCTTTACTCTGTGATTAATGAAATATGAATTGTGATTTTTTTTTGATTGTTAAAATGTGATAACTATTCTCTTAATTCAACGGTAAGTGCTAGCAAATAGATTGTGATAGATTAATTTCTGTTTGTTAAATTTCAAATTTCTTTTTTAGATAACTTAAAAATTTGATTTTTTTAGTTGTTTATTTATGTTACATTGTTTATGGCTATACGAATGATTTCAAAGCATTTATAAGAAAAGGTTGAATTGGTGGACAAGTTTGTTTTATATCATTGTGACCAATATGATGTGTATAATCACTATTAATATGTGTGTGAAAAGTATATTTTGTACTTTTGAAAAATATATAACAGTAAGGTGTGTATATATGTTGTGTGTTGTTATATTAAGAGAAATCCTAGACTTTATTTTATAATTGAGCCCTATATGTTACACATTGTGACTTAATACAACTGAGGTGGAGTACAGGGATACATTCTATGCCATGATAATGTATATATTTACAATTGTATGTCATTGTTATAATTAAGTTTTCCAATTTATATGAAGTTTCACCACTTTACAGTTTGTTAAATGCTGGAAAAATTAGAATCCACCTGCTCATTGTCATTGCCAAATGAGTCAACCTAAAAACAGCTTGTCTCCAGATTCAAGTCAGTTTTTATACCAATTTGGAAATAGTATATTATGGGTCTGAAATATTGAAAAAGTGAGAAAAGCTAAATTTTGCCTAAAAAAGCAATACTTCACATGATTTTTGAACTTTGTTCAATCTGATCTGATCTTTTCATTCATCTGGAGGTATGCAGATTTAAGAGTAGTGATTCCCAACTTGAAGTTGTGATGTAATAATTTTGAGTCAAGTCTTGTAATAATTCAATTTAGAGTAAACTGCTAATTATGCTTTGATTTTTTTTTCATATTTACTTTAATGATATTTCATAGCTGATTTAAAAATACATCATTTATCCATACACTTTTTTTTTATATGATATACAAAAATGTTTCTGCAGCATCAATTCAGGATCCATTCTCTTTAACTGGTAAACATCATTTTCATAAAGAATTATATTTGAAAAAAAAACAAAAAAAATTAACATCATCTCCACATTCCTTTTCTCACTTTTTATTAATGTTATTTATTATTTGAATATATTATGTAGATCTACTGCTTATGGTAATTATGATATTTTATTATGCATTATAATACTTTATAAGTGGATTGGTCTACAATGCATACATTTTCCTTAAGTATTTTAACTGTGGATTAATTCAATAGAAATTAATTATTTGGATATTGTTATGAATTATAACTTAGAAAATGTGTTGATAATAATCTAAGTGATTTAGTAGGAAAATTAAAAAAATTAAGAATAATATTTTGCTCTTACACAATTTATTATCTGCTATATAAATTTATGTAATATCAGATCATGTATGTGACACTTGCCAAAAACAGCCATTTATATTTCTTTTGTTGATTGTTATGTCCTGCTGGGCACTCTCCCAGTGGTCCTGTGTTGCTGGGACATGTTGGGGGTTGATGATTTTGTTTTTTCATATACTATGTCTGATACTACACATTATCATTGTAATTATTTAATGTTTTACAAACCTTCCATTTTAGATCAATTCACTTTTAAGTATTTGTTTTAACTCTGCTTGTGTAAATATATGTTTAATGCTTTATTTCAAACCAGTTAAAGGAACTTCACTGAGGTTTATAAGCCTAAAAACATAACATTTTAATTTTTCACATAGATAAACATGAGCACTTGAAACAGAAATACTAATAAAATATAGAAGAAATACATTGAAAATCATGTTTGTGCTATTCTCAGTCCGATTTGAGTGAAAAGCGTTTAAACGCTTTTCAATATTGGGTGATTTTTCACTATCATAATAATCATTCTGTAAAAACGAAACAAGCTACTGATCTGAAATTTTGCACATAAGTTATTAGGATAGATCTACATCAAATGGAGTAATAATCTCAAAAAAATATTTCCAGTCCTGTTATGTCAAAAAACCTCAGTGGAGTCCCTTTAATAAGGTCTGTGGCTTAACTATAATATTTAAAAGACCTTGGAATAAAACCTGTATGAGTGCTTGATCACATTTTCTACAAGTGTAGCAAGGTCTTCCAGATCTTGTCTAAAAAGCCATGAAAACATGTGCAATTTATTTAACTTTTTTTTTACTTTCTTACTTTTGTACATTGTACATATACATAAACATGTCTTTCATAATTTTTATTATGTGTTTTTATTTTAATCACATCTCTTTCTCTTTTCTTATTGCAATATGATATTGTTATTAATGGAATAAATATTGTACAAAATTTTACCTGTGTAAAAGTAAATTCCGTATACATGTTTTGTTTGTATTCACCAGATTGTAGTTAGTAAGGCATTAGAAGAAGTTAAACATGGTTGTAAATTGTATATTTTTTTGTCATTTGTGACTTGAAATGTTTTTTTTTATGACAATTTCTAATTATATTAAACATTGAAGTCCGGTAGTTAGACTTGGGCTTTAAAATGCTATTTTTATTAAACATGTTAAAGGGTCATTATGCCTCAGAAATCATCAAATTGTGTCATTTCTATTTCACAAAAAAAATCTCTAAATGTTTGGTATGTTGTTACAGTTTCAAAAAAAAAATACTCATTTGTCCTATAGATGTACTATCTTTGCCTCCTTTGCTTTATTGTCAAATGGTATAATTATAGTGTATTAGTATTTTGTTTTGAAGTCAGATAAAGCATATATTTTACTACCTTTATGTCACATTACTGCATATTGAGCATGTTTATGGCTTTCTTGAGGTATTTAACAACTAACATGCTCTAAGTTCATTATTGAAACATTATTAAACACTTGTTTGACATTTCTGAACAATTTAATATATATATGAATTTCTGGGTCATAATGTGCCTTTAAGCAAACATTTCTTTAAAATTCATTGAAGTTGATGATATAAAGTTATGTACAGTCAGCTGTAACTGTTTTATGTACATGTTTTTATTAAGTTTCATGGAAATATGTACCTATTAACTAAGAGAATTTAGAAAAGGAGAATGCAAATTTAAATACTGCAGGTGCTATCTTATGTTAAATTTTTGTAATAAAAATGTTGTATTGTTTGTACAAAATACTTTAATTTTACAATTCATTGTTTAGATGTATTGTTAAAAACGGTGCCTATTAAACCAAAACCATATCACATATTTAATTTAATAAATGAAAAAAGTGCAGGTATGAAATAATTTTTGTGCAATGAAGATTATAAAATTATACAATGAACTTGTTTCAAAATCTAAGTGAAATATTTGTTTTTGTCAAACCATTTTAAATATTTTAGTCTTCTTTTTGTAAGTTATTGCTGGCAATTAAATTATGCCAAAATTTTTCTACATAATTTTCAACCCTTGCCATGATATATAAAAATTATGTAGAATGGACAAGCATTGATTACTTTGAAACTGTTAACCTTTAACCTAATGGAACTAAAAGCAATTAGCTTTAACCACCAGTATAGAAAGCTAAGTCAGCCCGCATATTCATATACTAGTCTGACCACACTCTTATACTGTTACCTTACTTGCTTACTTTCATCATGATTTTCTTTAAATTGATAATGGACACTTCCAAGAATTAAAGCTGGAAAAGTCCATTTAAAGGAGCTGCAGGAGGTCTAAAAGACTACGAACATGAAGTTTTAATTTCTTAGATTGATTTTACAAAATGTACAGGGTTATCTTGCACTGAACTGATTGAAAACTTGTACTGTGAATATTTCTTCAAGTTGTGGTGCTGTAGATTTAACGAGATATATATTGTGTAATAGGGCTTGACCCATTGTAGTTTAAAAATATTTTATGTATTTAGATAGCTGTTTCTGATTTTTTTTTTGTTATTTAATAAAAATGAGAAGCACTATAGAAGAAGATACTGATGTGACATATTATGGGTATTTTTAACAATTGTCTTACATATCAGATATTTTTTGGATTGAATTTTAATACAATTTGTTTTTTAAGATACACAGGATGTAATAATACACATAGTTTTTTTAATTAAGAATTCTTTTAACTTCAGATATTATAGTTTTTTTAATTGAGAATTCTTTTAACTTCAGATATTATTTTTAGTT